GATAAAGTAGTAGTATCATGAATTTCCTTTTAAAATTCCTATTGTTCAATAAGAAAAACACAAGTCCAAAGAAAAATGAAACAAGACATGAACGGGCCTTGGAAAGAACAGAAAAACTAAATGGACCAAGTATGTATGATAAGATGCCCAATCTCATTAGTAATCAGAAAGTTTAACTGAAAGTCCCAATGAGGCACATTTAACACTTATTTGAATGGCAAAGTTTTAAGGCTTATCAAAACGAAATAATGATGAAGATATGGAACAACAAGAACTTTCACATACTAATGGTGTGAGTATAAAGTCCCAAACAGGCTGGAATTATCTAATAAAACTGAACATGAAAATACCCTATGAATCAGTTTATATTCACTAGATATCTTGTGTACCAAGAAACACATACAATAATGTGTCTTCAGAACACATAGATAAATAAAATGAACAAGTAAATTGTAGTCTATTCCCACAGTAGTAGACTGTACAACAGTAAATATGAATAAATGAAAGCTATAAGCATCAACATAAATAAGCCAATAAAATACAATATTTCGGACAAAAAAAACCCCTCATAGAGGAATACATATAGTATTATTCTCTTTGGGATATCCTAAGGCAGATTAAAATTAATATGTTTAGTAATATGTACAAAGACTGGATAAAAAAGAAAAGCAAGGGAATTATTAACATAAAATTCAAGATAATGATCATTCTTGAAGGAAAAAGAAAACAGAATGAAATGGGAAAGAGTATGTAAAGGCTTGTACGGTATTGGTATAATAACCTATTTCTTAAGTTTTGTGGTGGGTAATCAAAGTCACTTTATTATTATTCTCTAAATTATACTGAATGATATGATTGATAAGCTATTTAGGAATATATACATTTCACAATAAAAATTTTTTAATTTTAAATTTTAAACTGAAAGAAAATGGAAGAACAATTCGTAATGAAAGGAAAGGAATTAAAAACACAGGGACACCTGGGTAGCTCAGCTGGTTAAGTGTTTGCCTTTGGCTCAGGTCATGATCTCAGGGTCCTGGGATCAAGCTCCATGTCCTTGGGCTCTGTGGTCAGCAAGGAATCTGCTTGAGGATTCTTTCTCCCTTGCCCTCTGCCCCACCGCCCCCTTAAAAGAAAAGGAATGGTTCTAAATACTTTATATGTATTATCTCTCATCCATTCTTTGTATCCTATATCATAAGATACAGTATTTTTGGGGAAGCCTGGGTGACTCAGTTGGTTAGACGACTGCCTTCAGCTCAGGTCAAGACCCCGGAGTCCCGGGATCGAGTCCCATGCATCAGGCTCCCAGCTCCACTGGGAGTCTGCTTCTCCCTCTGACCTTCTCCTCATTCATGCTCTCTCACTGTCTCTCAAATAAATAAATAAAATCTTAAAAAAAAAGAAAGATATAGTATTTTTATTTATATATTTTATATTTATTTATTTATATGTATTATACATATTTATATTTAGTATATATATATATACTTCTAATTTTATTTATTCATTTATTTATAATATTATTTTATTTATTTGCCTCATCATTCAGGTGAGAAAGCCAAGGCATAAAAAGCTTAAGTAACTCCCCCCAAGGTCATAGTCAGGAAGTGATTCAAGCCCTAGCAGATTAAGTGCAGAGTGTACATTCTGTCTGCTTACTCATGATACAAGGGTATGCATTTCCTAATAAAAATAAGATAGACTTAAAAAATACATAGAACCCATGGAAAATATGTGAAATTTTATGAGACAGGTAAAAAAATGGATATATACACCATGTCCCTGATGAGACTTCATATTTTAAAGGTTAAATTTTCTCCATATTGAATATACTTATCAAGTCTAATGGAATTTTCTGGAGGATGAGCAAAAGGGGCATCTCACAAAAAACTATGTACAGTTGACCCTTGAACAACACAGGTTTGAAACACGCAGGTCCACTTACATGTGGATTTTCTACAGTTTACAGTACTGTAAATGTATTGTCTCTTCCTTATGATTTTCTTTAAAAACAGTATCTTTTCTCTAGCTTACTTTATTATAAGAACACAGTACATACATAATACATATGACATACAAAACATGTGTTAGTTGACTGTTTATGTTCCCAATAAGACTTCTAGTCAACAGTAGGCTATTAGTAGTTAATTGGGGGGAGGGGAGTCAAAAGTTATACATGGATTTATCTTATTTTATTTATTTATTTATTTGAGAGAGCGTGAGAGTGAGAGAACACAAGAGGGGCAGCAGCAGAGAGAGGGGAAGAAGCAGGTTCCCTGCTCAGTGGGGCTTGATCCCAGGACCCTGGGATCACCTGAGCCAACAGTAGATGCTTCACCGACTGAGCCACCCAGGGGCCCCCATACATGGATTTCTGACTACACAGGGAAGGGGCTTGGTGCTCCTATAACCCCTCACTGTTCAGGGTCAGCTATTTACGCATGAGAAGAACTAAGAGAACACTCCAAGAGAAGAGTACTGAAAACGGATTCACAATGCTAAATAATAAGCATATTAGTAAGCCATAAAACAGTACAAAATAAAAAACAAAACAGAACAAAACAAACAGCAGTATGGTATAAACAAAAGAGAAAGAGATCAATGGGTGAGAAAACAAAGCCCAGAAATTGATATATGTATATATGCTTATGCTACATGGAAAGGAAAGTATTTAAAATTACTGGGGGAAAATGCATTATTCACTCAATAGTGTTGGGACTAACCTGAGAAAAAAAAAAAAAAAAAAAAGAACCAAACAAAAAAAGAATGTTTTCAGCTTGACTACAATTTAAGATGAAAAATTATAAAAATGCTGAAAGCAGACACAGGCAAACATTTATAAAATATGGGGGAAGAAAAAAATCTCACACAACTTGGTATCAAAGGCAGAACTAATAAAACATTCACAGAATAGACTGCACAAAAATAAACTGTGGCATATAAATAAATAAAATGCTATAAATTATTTGACACAAAATATAAAGAATTAAAATCCTTCATAAATACCTTCTCCAAATAAACAGCAAAAATCACCAACAGAAAAATAAGCAATTCACAAAATAAATACGTAACAATAACACAAGAAAAATACATCCATTTTAACTAGTAATCCAAAAACTTAAAAATTAAACAGTGAGCTATCTACCACAGTTTTGTCTAAATACCAAACACTCAATGTTGTCAATGTGCAGAAAAAGCAGCCCTCAAATTGCTGACAGTGGTAATTAGAAGGTTAATCTTTGGAATGTGGCAATATATACTGAAAAACTTAAAAATGGGTATAGCTTTCTAGTATTTTACCTCTGCCAAATTATAATTAAAATTTTAATCATTAAAAATGAAAATATCCCAGGGGCACCTGTCTGGCTCAGTTGGTGGACTGTGCAATTCTTGATCTTGGGGTTGTGAATTCGAGTCCCACCATTGAATAAAATTTTTTTTTTTTTTTTTAAAGATTTTATTTACTTGTCAGAGACAGAGAGAGCGAGCGAGCAAGTGACAGGCAGAGGGAGAAGCAGACTCCCCACTGAGCTAGGAGCCCAATGTGGGGCTGGATCCCAGGACCCTGGGATCATGACCTGAGCTGAAGGCAGACGCTTAAGCAACAGAGCCACCCAGGCATCCCCAAAATAAAATCTTTAAAAAAAAAATTTAAACATCACAGTGATCTAACATACAAATTTAAATTTGAAAATAAAGTAACTAATATCAAAATAGTTAAATTATGACATACCTACAAAATGGAATACTGTACAGTTATTAAAAATAGAAAAAAAAATAGTATGCAGAAAAAATGTTTTCACTACTTCAAATATTTTCTGAGTATCTATCAGTGACTCTGCTTTAGAACCTGGGAATAAAATAGTTCACAGGAAAGACAAGGCCCCTGCCTTCAAGAAACATATAATGCAAACAAATGATTAAGTAAGACAATTTCAAGTAGTGATTAATGTTATGAATATCTGCTAATGAACAAACAGTGTAATCATGTTATGGGTGGAGGAAAGTGTAACTGAAAAGGGATAAACTCGATGTACTGGAAAACAGAAACATTACCTACATTAAAAGAGGAGTACCCACTTTTCATATTATACTGAGTGGAAACATCTCAGAGCGGTTAAAAACATGGACTCCAGATCAGAGTCCCTAGAATATTTCCTCCTTCTCACTCTAGTTTCCTCATCTATAAATCAGTAATAACTATAGTATCTATCTCACAGAACTGTTTTAAGGACGATTACACACAATAAGTGTTCGTATAGTAACTGTTTTTTGAAGACTTATTATTAGTGGCACCTATCATTTCTATGAAATCATAATAAACTTCTTACTATAAATGAAATAAATCTTTTGGTCAACAAGAGAAAGGGGATGAGGCCGAGGCAATGACGAGAAATGTGACTGGGAGCCACAGGAGGAATATTTGGCTGGGAGGGGAAAGAAAACCTCTAGGAGGAGGTAACATCTACACAAACTTGAATCCTAAGAGGTCAGTTATACAAAGATGGAGGGAAGGAACAGCGAAGTTTCTAAGGTGAGAATATATAACTGAAAAATATTTACAATAGATTAAGTGAAAAATGCAGATTAAAAATATCAAGTAAAATATTATCACAATTTGCTTAACACATTTTACTTATACATATAAATAAAATATAAATGCTAAGATTTATAAGCCATGCTTTAAAATTACTTCTTCACACTGTTTTTCACTGGTTTTGGTCTTGGTGTGAAGAACTATTTTACAATGATAACTTTTACTGGTCTAGCATGTTATTTAGTAACAAAGCCAGGACAGTTACTTAATCCCTCAGATATGCCTGTGAGCTTTGCTGGGGTCTAATGTGATCATCTGTACCCGTCCTGTTACCTCTTGTGGCAAGATCTGTAACTGCCTTAAACCCACATATCAAAACCGAGGCACAACACAAGAATCCCATCATTATACACAAGCGTGACCCACATCCTTACAAACTGAGTGCCATGGTTTTCCTTACCTCGGTCCATTACTGTCTTTTCTTCTGGTTGAACAGTTGCCTTGCTCAGCCTTAGCTCGCTGATCCGGGAACTCATGCGCGTTCCTCTCTATGACTTCTCCGGCGTCCAGGGCTCTGTGGAGTCGGTAGTTGACCATTTTCAGAACAACGAAAACAGCGGCTATCACAGGACAGTAAACTGCTACGATAATCATGGAAGAAGGAAGAGCCTTGGAGAGAAAGAAAATAAAGATAGGCATTAAAAAATATTTTATATTTTATTCAATTAGAGGAATCTGTAACTAAAATGATACACACACACATTCACACGCAAAAGGGCAATGATGTTACTAGCACTAAGTTATAAAAGTGTAAGACAGCACTTATTGTAAGACAGAAAGACAGCCCAAGATAGTAGCCACAAGCTACGCGCAGCGATTGACCATCAGAGAGATGGTTAGTGTGAACTGAGATGTGCTCTAAGAATAACACTGGATTTTGGAGAAACAGTATGCAAAAAAAGAGTGTAAAATATCTCGATTTTATATTGATTACATGTCAAAATAATGTTTAGATTATACTGGATTAAGTAAAGCACACTACTAAACTTACTCTCATCTGTTTCTTTTTATTTATTTTTAATGTGGCTACTAGAAAATTTTAAATTACATATGTGGCTTGCATGAGTTACGTTTCCACTGGAGAGCACAGTATAAAGTCCATGCCTAAAGCTTATGATATAACTGGAGAGTCAGGTATCACATTACATAATACATGAGTAAGACAGGATTGTGGTCCAAATATATATAAGCCCCATTTATATGCTCTCTGGAACTCTCTTCCAGAGAGTTTATATCTTCAGGATATAAACATTCTTTGGGTTCTAGAAAGTTGTTCTAGTTAAAACGGTTAGAAGAAGAACCTTTGAATTATGACTGAAAATGCAGATAAGACATGGGAGACATGCAAAATCCAATTATGTCTTCTTTTAAAATACTTGAAAATTGTAGCCTGACAAATTAAAAAAGAATACAGAACAAATCAAGCAAAAAGAAACAGATTAACTGAAAAAAACACAGAAGCTTCCTGGGCATGAGGATTGCAGACCCATCATACCTGAGGATCTACTGATGTGGACCTGGATCCAGGGGTGACAGGCACAGTGACCACCCCATTTGGAAAGCATGGCCTCAGGGGCACCACTGGCAGAGACTATAAAACCAGACACTTTATGCCCATTTTCATAAGGTACAAATCACTCCCAGTGTTTGTAGCTCCAAATTTCATAAGATTTAACCCCAGGCATCTGAGAACATGGCTCCAAATTTGCTTGGAAAGGTTACTTCGAATTGCTTGAGATGGTAAAACTAAAAAGGTCCTGGTGAACCAGGTAGGTTCAGAATACAAACATGATAAAAGATTAAAAAAAAAAAAAAGTTATTTTGTAGGGAGAGAGAAGGAAAGAAAGTGGGTTGGAATTGGGAGGGGAAAAACAAAAGTAAATAAAGCCTACAGTTTGCTACTTTTGAGTTGCATATGGGCATAATAGGTATATATTTGGTATTTTTAAAACTTGGATTAAGGAAAACTTCATGTTAAAAAATTAAAACCGTGGGGGTGCCTGGGTGGCTCAGTGGGTTGATCCTTGCCTTTGGCTCAGGTCATGATCTCAGGGTCCTGGGATCGAGCCCCGCATCAGGCTCTCTGCTTAGCGGGGAGCCTGCTTCCCCATTCTCTCTGCCTAGTTGTGATCTCTCTGTCAAATAAATAAAAATCTTTTAAAAATTAATTAATTAAACCTATGAATTCAATTTAAATGTCATTGAATGACTGACTTAGGTTTATGTCTTTAAAATCCAAACTGTATTTAAAATTTTAGAAAAATCCATAAATAACAGGTTTAGAGAAGTTTAGTACTTGGGAAGATTTATTAGATAATCTAAGTATTTAAAAATGAATACTAAATTTATAAGTATAATTTAAAGAGATCCTAAGTGTAATTTAAAGGGATCTTAAGCTAAATTTAAAAAAAAAAAAAAAAACCAAACCCCTAAAACAGAATTGTTAAGAATGTATTCAATATGAGTTTGAAACTGTTTTAACTTGTAACTTTAAAATAAATCTAATTTTTTTGTTAAAAAAAAAAGCATCCTGAATAAGAAAACACATACACACACATTGACAAAAATTCCAAAGTAAACACACAAACACATACAGACACATATACTGCTTAGAGTATTTACAAAAGTTCTGCATGATGCCAGTTTCTATACAACATGTTCATGTAAGAATTAGAATTCTTGGCAATCATTTAGTTCAACACCTTCATTTTCAGACAGAAAATTGAGACTTGCTAACTTTGAATGACTTAGCCAAGATTACCCATCTTTTGTTTTTGTTTTTAAAGATTTTATTTATTTATTTGATAGACATAGATCACAAGTAGGCAGAGAGGCAGGCAGAGAGAGGGAGGAGGAAGCAGTCTCCCCGCCAAGCAGAGGGCCCGATGCGGGGCTTGATCCCAGGACCCTGGGATCATGACCTGAGCAGAAGGCAGAGGCTTTAACCCACTGAGCCACCCAGGCACCCCAATATTACCCATCTTAATGACAAAATTAACCAATATTTCTCATGCCTAAGTCACTGCATGTTTTACTACACACCAATACCAATTCCATTCTCAAATGTAAATTGTCAATGAAAAATAAGTCAGAGTTCCATCATTATTCACCATAGTCCTTATTAAGATAAAAATTATTGATTATATTAATTAAGCAGATAGAAAGAAAACAACCTCACCATTATACTCAGAGTGGTAGACAAATTCCACGGAAATGTTAATGGCCCCTCCAAATGGGAAAAGAGAAAGAGACTACTTAATATTTGAATGGTCTATCATATCTGCATGTAGAGAGCCAAAGATTATGAATGCCTAAAACAGATCGAAATAAATTCTCTCTCCCTACTATTCTATTGCTACCAGTAGTAGATTATTGAATGCCAGAAAACATACTAAATGTACAGGATCTATATAGTAAGTACAGAATTTCTTCTCTTAAAACACTGAACAGTGAAAAGACTGAAAACTAAATAAAAATTCAAGTGTCTATTTCATACCAGAAACCGCTATCAGATGATGAACACTTGTATTTTCTACTCAAACTACAGAGGTTATCCATTTATTTTATACCCTGTGGTTTAAATGCAGAAGCCCTATCAATGGTTACTCTGGAGGTCTCTAGGTGACAGAGGACAGCTGTGCTCTAAGTTTCACTTTTCCCAGGAGGGATAAGATGCATAGACACACACTGGGCTGTTGTGTGATTTTATTCAAGTTTGTTCTCTACTTACATTACTTCACTACATAGCACAGCTGAAAATATTAGTATGATCATAAATGTATCACAAAACTTCCCTGTAACTACCTTACTAATAAACAAGAAAATTTCAAATGGTATCTACCTTTATAAAATTTCTGTGGTTCCTCTAAAATCAAAACCAAACAACTAAAGACTAGTTAGGACACCTATCCCTCAGTTTTATGATTATATACCAAAAGTGCAAACCAAGTAGTATTTACTATTTGCTTTCATATTTTATTAAATTAGGTATATTGATACTGTGTTTTCAAAGAAAGATTTTCAAAGACATTCATAATTTTATTTATCAACAAGCATCATCTCATTGGAAAACAGGTTCTTTTTCTAGGGGAAAAAAACAACTTTATGAGATAAAATTGCTTATTTTTCTGTTACAAATACAATTTCTGTATCCCATTCCACAATCCAATTCTAAATTAAAGTATCTATTTTGAGATTTTTTGGCAGGTACCTTTTTATATATATATTTTATAAATATTTTATATATCTTCTAAATATTTTAAGTGTGTCTTTTTTAAGTAGGCTCCACACCCAACATGGGGCTTGAACTTCCACCGTGCGATCAAGAGTCATATGCTCTATTAACCGAACCAGCCAGATGGCCCTGGCAGGTACTTATTGACTTACTATGTTCCATAACAAACAACACTTTAAAAAGTACTAATTTCCAGAGGTCATGTTTCATCCTAGTTATAATATTTTACCACAGATGTTATTTTCAAGTTAATGCTGATGACCAAGCACATTAACTGCTCTCTGATAATAAAAGTTGATCTATTTTATCTTCACTTCAAGGTCTATCTACAGGTACAAATTGCTTACATGGAAAGGTTGATTTTACTCCTTCCCTAGGATACCACAAACAGTGGATGGCAACAAACGAAGATGGGGTAGCAGGTGGTATAATACTGATGTTGGACAAACAAGGCCCTCCCTGAATATCCAGAAAGGTCACAGCACTGGCAAGCTCACAATAAAGACAGGCAGTCATCACAGACTTCAAGGGCTCTTCTACATCTTAAATATCTATGCATCTTATATATCCTATGTACCAAAAAATATATCATGTGTATCAAAAATGACTAACCTCTTAATTCGGGGATCTGCTTATTTATGTAGCCACACTCAAGTATTCATCCCAGTTCAGTCAGAAATCCGTGGTCTATAATTTAAAGATTATCACAATGGCAAACTATCACCCACAACTGAGGTTAAGACTGTGAAAAAAAATTTACCATATCTCCTAAAATAGCTATTATTAATGTAAAACACCTTGTATGTTTATTTTCTTTTTTCCACTGTTGAAACTACCTTATTATTTAAGGCAACATTTACCAAACTTTTGGCTTCACAGCCTTAATGGGTATTCAAGCAAACATGTGAACTCTACATGTATTTTACATGAGATTCAACACATCTTAATTTCTTAAACTGACAGATGGATTAGAGACTTTAACCTAAAGAGCAAAACTTTCAAAATTTTAGAAGAAATATAGAAGAATATCTTTATGACCTTTAGGATATTTCTTAAGCACGATTCTCAAACCACACACTGTAAAGGAATGATAAATTAAAATTAAGAACTTCTGTTCAAGAGACAATATAAGCTGAGTGAAAAGACAAGCTACAAACTAGAAGACCCATTAAAACATGTATTATATAGATATATGTATGTATATATTCATATACATATATACATATAGATGCAATACATAAAGAATAAATATGTATAAATAATTTTTAAAATCAGTAACAAAGAGGCAAACAAACCAATGAAAACAAAGGACAATAAAAGGGCTTGACACAGAAAAACAGATATAAATAGCCAATAAAACAACATGTGAAAACAT